TTGGGCCAGTTGTGGTCTGCCCAGAGGATGAGCTGGATCAAGGTGGGAAAGGAGTTCTGTCCCGGCCTCTCCTTCTCCTGGAAGTCCTAGTTGCCTGGAGCCTTCTGGCTTTCTGACCAGGCTGGCAGAGGGACCATTTTCTTCAACACAATGCCCAACAGCAGTTGAACTGGGGGGCGGGGGGCACAGCGTTCTACCGATGGAGATTGAGGAGAAGTCAAGAGACAGTGGGAAGGGGTGGAAGGTCAGCCTGAGGGCTTCCATAGAATGGGGGTGAATATCTATCAGGAAGAAGACCACACCACTCCAAGTCCTGCTTCAGCACCTTTGGTACCATCAGCCAAAACTTCGATAGACGAGGGGAGAGCCTGGAGGCACAACAGCCCAAATGATCCCAAAGAGAGCTACATGTATAGGAAACATCACACTGCTGTTCCTTTGTTCTAAGCAAACTACACAAGTGACAATGGACAGGAGCTATAAAGTACAAAAGAATAGAGGTGGAAAAGAGACCTTGGAGGTTTTCTAGTCCAATCCCCTACTCAAGCGGAAGACCCTATTCCATCCCAGACAAATGGCTGTCCAGACCCCCCTCTTCCTTGTGGACGCTCCTCAAATATTGGAAGTGTCAGAATTCCAGAAATCTCCCTAATTAAATCGTGATTCCTATGCCTGCTTTAGTAGTTGCCTGGAAGACTGCTACATGTCACCCCTAGTCCTTGTCTTCATCTGATTGGACGTATCCAGTTCCATTTATCACACAGTTTAGCCTCCAGTCTCATCATCATCTCTGTTGCTCTTCTCTGCACTCTTTTGAGAGTCTCAACAACATTTTTGTATTGTGGTGACCAAAACTGGACACAGTGTTCCAAGAGTGGTTTTATCAAAGCAGTACCAACACTTGTAACCTTGATACTATCCGTTTGTTGATGCAGCCTTGGACTGTCTTGGCTTTTTTTTGCTGCTCATATTTAAGCGATTGTCCACTCCAGACTCCCAGATCTCTCTCCCTATTACTGCTGTTGTGCCAAGTGCCACCTATTCTACTATATCTGTATATTTGGGGTGGGTGGATGTTTGCCTGAGTATGTGGCTTTATTTTTCTCACCACTGAATTGCATTTTATTGGATAGGTGTCAGTCTTGGAAGGCATTTTTTACTTGGAAGCTTCGAGGTTGCCACATTCAGTATCTGGGAATTTGGGAGGGGGGATTTCATAGTGGGGCAGAAGACTAGACACAACAACATTCTTCTCAGAGAGTCAAGGACACTCTACCCTGCACCTGCAGAGGAGCGTCTAGAGGGATGTCTCCAGTTGGGAAGAATATTTGATTGGACTGATGGACGCAGAGGATGGATTTTTGATTTTCTTTTGGGAAGGGAAAACCCGGAACTCCCAGATTCAGGGTTTCCCAGATGTGCCAATATGACAACTCTAATAAAATGGAACTTTGAGAAAATTATTGCCTTGGAGTTTATTGGTTTGGTGTTGGTTAGTTGGAACACTGACAATAGGGTTCAGTGCTCAAGTCTGTTGAGATCCTTCTAGATCTTGAGCCTATCTTCTGGGGTGTTGGCTACTTTCTCCCAGCTTGGTGTCATCTTCAAATTTGATGAGTTCCCCTTCTATACCCTCATCTAAACCATTTTTGAAGAAGTACTGAGCCTAAGATGGAGCCTTGTGGTACCCCACTGCTTACTTCATGTAGATGTCATTCCATTGAATTCTAGGAGATGCCACACAGCTGTTCCTTTGCTCTAAGTAAATTAAGTGGCAACATACAGGAGTTACCTTAGACAGGATCCATGCAATCAACCAGGCATGCGTAATTGCAGCACTTCTGCTTCCCAGGACATTTCCAGTCACTTTCACATCTCACGAGACAAATGGTGAAAACGTCTGGATCGGGTTTGGGACACACCCCAGGCCTTTCTGCAAATAGAAAATCCCGAGGCTGAGTGTCTGACTTATCAGGTAGACCAGACAAGAAACACAACCAGATAGCATAATTCTGATTTATTGTAAAGCTACTATCAACTTGTAAAACATTCCTATGCCTGTTTTCAAGTTCCAATAAACAAGGGAGGGGGAAAATCTGAAGGAGCAGTAGGGCAGTTTAAAACCAGAAGTACATTCCACCCTTATCTTACAAAGATTGTAGCTAGGCTACCGGATCTTCTACCCATGAAAATCCTTCATTGGAGAATGTGATTGATGACACCCAGCCTGTCAATGTGCTTCATTGGAGAATCTGATTTATGACACACCAAGGGGGAGGGGGGAAACAGGGTTACAGGTGACTGTAAATTACGTATGCCAGAGTCGGCTTCATTTAGGTTGATAACAATAGCACTTGGACTTATATACCACTTTATAGTACTTTACAGCCCTCTCTAAATGGTTTACCGAGTCAGCATATTGCCCCCAACAATTTGGGTCCTCATTTTACCCACCTCGGAAGGAGTGGAAGGCTGAGTCAACCTTGAGCCTGGTGGGATTTGAACTGCCAAATTGTAGGCAGCTGGCTGCAGAAGTAGCTTGCAGTACTGCACTCTAACCACTGCGCCACAGAGGCTCCTAATGCCAGCATGTTGCTCCTAATAAATCTTTTGAATTTTTTTGAAGCTTGGCTTGAGGCTCATGATTTAATTAGGGCAATCGCCGGAACCCTGACAGCTACATTAACAGAATCTTGCAGGTCTGAAAGGACAAATCTCTCACTGTCTCCTTTACAGGCTGAGCTACTAGGGAGGGTCTCTTTTGAGTCTCTTTATCCACCCATTGTGCAGCATCAGGCTAGGCAGTCTCTTCCTTGACCATTTCTTGGCAATATCTCCTCAGCCAGGTCTCCCAATGTCTTTTCAACACACCACGAAACTGACAGATTCTTCTGGAATTGGAATCGCAGAGCAAACAAGACCCCATCACTGGATCTTTCAGCAGCCCAAGCCTCTCATGCATCCAGGATGAGAGAGGGGTCCAATCTCCCCACTTCCTTCCCAATGAAGGAGGGGAATTTCTCCCTATTTCTCGGTTGAAACTCTCCTTGATTTCCAGCAATGAATGGAAACTAAATCAAGGAGAGAAGCAACTAGAATAGAGAATAAAATAACAGAGTTGAAAGGGATCTTGGAGGTCTTCTAGTCCAACCCCCTGCCCAGGCAGGAAACCCTACACCACTTCAAATGGTTATCCAACCTCTTTTTTAAAACTTCCAGTCTTGGAGCATCCACAGCTTCTGGAGGCAAGTTGTTCCACTGATTAATTGTTCTCACTGTCAGGAAATTCCTCCCTTAGTTCAAGGGTGCTTCTCTCCTTGTTCAATTTCCATCCATTGCTTCTTGTCCTGCCTTCAGGAGCTTTGGGGAATAGCTTGACTCCCTTCCTCTTTGTAGGAGCCCCTCAAATATTGGGAGATTGCTGTCATGTCTCCCCTAATCCTTCTTTTCATTAGATCTGGAAGGAAGGAGGGATTTCCTGACTGGGCCATTAATCAGTGGAATGGCTTCCCTTCAGTAGTTGTGGGTGCTCCATCCCTGGAGGTTTTTCAGAAGAGATTGGACATTTCTCTGAAATGGGATGCTTGAGCAGGGGGTTGGACTAGAAGACCTCCAAGGTCTCTTCCAACTCGGTTATTTTGTTAAAGCACAGCTATGGACAAGGACTGAGGTTTAAGCCAAGATCCAGATAACAGGGACAAAAAAAGCTAAGCAGAAAATAATGCTCTCATTATGGAACTACCAAGGAGAAAAACCACACCCACACCAATGCTGGCAGGGCAAGCAACTGCATACACAGAGCAAATAACATACTTCGTTGCACTGTTGATGTTACCCAGTTGGGTAATGAAATGTCTGCAAGAAAAGAACTGAGCTCAAAGAGAACCAAGGATCCCATCCTCCTCTTCTTCTTCCTCCTCCTCCTCCTCCTCCCCCTCCCCCTCCTTCCTGCAAACCACTCCCTTCTATAATCTGTTACCTAGTTGGGTCATGAAATGTCTGCAAGAAAACATCCTAGCTTAGGAAGCAACAAGGACCCCATAGTTCAACCTTGAGCTACATAAATTCCCTTGTATTGGAAGAGTCAGTCTGCAACTCCTCCTCTACTTACCAACACAGGTGTAATGACATTTATCTTTGGTCTCAAAATTGTTGGCATTGCCATGGCATCCACCATAAGTAAACTTTTCACATTGTTTTGAATCCGAGTTGTAGTAAAAGCGAGTGATTGTTGCTCTACATGGTCCGGGGTTAGGAGGAAGATGACAAAACCCTGTAACAAATGGAAAGGGGAGTGGGATATTATATTATTAGCTAGCACAAAAGTCTTTAATACACTTCCCCAACCTGGTGCCCTCCTAGCATGCTCAGATTGCACATGGTCAAAAGCCATCTGAGATGTTGGATCAGGTGGCTGAATGATAGTTCCTGTTGCTCAAAATCCCGATTCTTCTGCTGCATTGAGTCAAGATAGGTCAGTCTTCCCCTAAAACTGCATCTCTCTTTCTTGGGACCCCCTCCCATTTCTGTCTCCTGTTCAGCTGACACCCAACCACCATCTCAAGAACCTCCGCAGAAGAAGCCCCACCAAGCCAGAGGTTCTAGACTGGGGTCTTTGGTTTCCCTTTCCTGGGGGAGAACTCTGATCACTTCAGCCCCTCCCTTCCAAGGGTCTCAAGATCATTCAGAAAACTCACTTGGACGGTCCTGGCCAGAGACGGGGGTCAGCTCTGCCCAGAGGGTGAGGAGTCCCAGCAGGAGAAGAAGACCTCCAGAAGACATGATGAATCTATCTGCACCACCCTCGGGCTGCTTGCACTAAATAGTCTCGCAACTGGGAATTTCACATCCAGGAAGCAGGAGGATGTAATGCGGTGAGAATACACATTCCTTCCTCTTTCACAAGATGGTCAAACAACAGGTGGGGAATCTGAGAGTTGGGTTGGCTGAGCAATTTGGAGGGAGCTCGGCAGCTCCTTCTTGATGTTGATGGATCATTTCTTTGGTCAAGCAAAACTCGCCTTTCCAGAGTTGCAGCAGAGCCGGGAAAGTCCCCCCATTAAGGTGTTAGGGGGTCCCTGACTGAGGGTGGAATATGGGGGCTGCTCAGCTGGGGGGATGATGTCACTTCCTTGCCAGGGCTGCCCTGGGGTTGTGATGGGAGAGGTGAAGAGATTTCTCCTCTTTGGTTTGGGACTGCAGAGAGATTTTGGCACAGAGGGCCTGGTATTATAGGCCGAATGATATGATATGATACAATACGATAGGATACTATATTAGCCCTAACACAACACAACACAACACAATTAATATCATAATATAATGTAATGTAATGTAATGTAATGTAATGTAATGTAATGTAATGTAATGTAATGTAATGCAATGCAATGCAATGCAATACAATACAATACAATACAATACAATACAATACAATACAATACA